TGATCACTTCAATGGTAGTAACATCAGTTGTTGCTTTTCCCACACATGGTACCATAGCAACAAGAATTGTACCCTGGGCTGCTTGTTGATGAGGAAACACCCTGCCATGCTCACTTGGGAAATTCATCATATCCTCCAACTAGAAGTACTGGCACTCTCCAGCCTTTAGATAAGATCACAAGCAATTCCATTAAGAGTGAGGGTGTAGGTGGAGAGCAACCATACTGAGCCAAACAAAAAACTTATAAAAAATTATGGGCACTTGAAGAATACACATCCATAGTTCTCTCGAGTGATTGCCATGTTCGAGTTGCACAATACATTGTAATTGGGGCAGAAGACCCTCCTTGACGTCCTCTAGATACTACTAGATGTTTGTGACATAGTCACCTTTGAGACCGGAGTTGAGACATAGACAAGTCCAGAGAAGAGAGCCAACTAGAGGAAGGAAGAGATGCATAAAGTGTTGTGAGCTCACCCTACTAAATATGAAATCATTTCCCATATTGATGCCAAAATGCCAAGTTTGGCGTCAGGATGCCTGTCTTGTCATTTCACTCAATAGCACATAGAAAAAATCTTCTTTGCTTCTAGTTGTGAACTAAGGGCACGATGGTCCTTTTAGCCTCTACTTAATACAAATTATATGGTCTTGGGACAGTAGTGGCCTGTACAAAACACAAAAACTAAAACGATGGTTCAAATGTCACGTGATGTTTTTCTAGTGGTATGCAGAGCATTTTGTGATGATTCGTGGCTCACAGGGAATTGACTCAAGAATCAATCAATGAGTGAAACACACTATTGAGGTAAATGGAGTTTGCCTCCTTTTTGTTGTGGAGAATGGATTTCACGTATGTCCAACTGGTGTATGTGCGCACATAGAACTGCCTCCTTGGCAATAGTTAGGATTTGGTGGAGATGTGGTGCTAGTGTGGTTGTACACATCACAGGACCTTGTCAGGCCCCATAGGGTGTCATTCTTGATGCGTAAGGATACCATTTGTATGTGACAATGTGTATGACCGTTCTGTGTGAACACAAATTTATTTGTAGCCTCAGCCCTCATATGGTCTATATAGTCAACCAGAAGTTGAGGATTTACCAAATATGGATGGTAATTTAGATTTACTATTATAACCTTCTATCTCATTTATTTTTCTCTCTTTCTTATGGTATATGGTACATATAAATCTTGAAAATAACATCCTATCGGGTGGTGCAACTAATATGAAGGGAAAGAACACGAGAGGGGGATGAAGTAATATAGGTGGAGACATGATATGAAAAGGATGCAAAAACAAAAAGTTATGGTGGTGAGGTTAGATTGGTGGGCATGCCCAAATATGTATTTAGAGTCATACCCAACCTAAAGTTCAAATATACTTTTATAATTTGTGTCAAACTTAATTGTATGATTAGAAAATGTGAATAGAAAAGTAAAAAACAAAGATAATAAAGTGTACTCATAAAGAGTGGCATATCATAAGTTTCAATAGAACATCTAGGAAATATCTATTTCCACTAGCTATTTGGATGTGAAATATGTTGAGTTATGAGATGAGGAATGGACAAGTTTGCACTAAGAGTCCAATATTAAGTGGATCTAGATAATATTGGTGAGATATAACAACAAACTCCTTCAAGGACATGTCATCCCCATCTAGAGTAACCAGTGTGTACAATAAGAATTCTTCTCTTTGCTTATTGATTGATGCTTGCACTAATCCTTTATAGAGTCACTTTGGCTTTGGCACATGAAGTGGATGAAGAAGCCCTAGACGAGGCTGAGACCATTATATTATTAGTTAGGGTGGTGAAGCTACGTTGGCACATGAGGTTATGTTTGGCATAGCTCCTGCTCTAAGAATTTTTTGGATCTAGGCATCCCTAGTTTAAGAAATTCTTGTAGCTCTAACTATTAGCAATCAAAGATATTTAGTCAAGAAAATTTGATTTCTTTTTGTTTCAAATATACATTGTTTTATTCTCCAGTCAAAATCTTGAATGGGTCTCAAGGCTAGAGTTATGCCAAACAGACCTCTAGCTGACCAGCAGGTGTGGAGCTCCACATGATGAATTGACGCTATGCTAAGAACTTGAACTATAACAAGAAGAAAGAATCGGGTAGGAGATAAGCGGCCTCAGGGCATAACATTGCAAAACCTAGCCTAGTATAGACTAGAAGGAATCGTTTTTGGATTTAGAGTTTGGCACAAAAAGTGAGGTTTTTGTTGTTTGTCTATGAATAGCTCTGAGAAGTGTAGTGTTCATCTTATAAATAAGTATCTACCCTAATTGATTTTTAAGAGAAATCATGTAAGTTGGAGGGGGTTTGAAGAAAATGTCTATGGAGAGCTATGACAAGTGAGGGTTTTTTTAGAAGACAAGTAAAAATTATACAAACTCTAGGCTTTATATTAAAGATATTATTCCAAGATAAAAAATATAAACAAAAGGTATATATTTGACCTTCGAAAGCATGTGGTGCTATTCCATTTTTTTAACTTTAGCAACTTAGGTTGTAGATAGGGTAGCTAGAGGATACCTAAAATGTAGATCAAGATATAGTGGCCCATGGTGGTTGATCTCGCCACAAGCCAAATAAGCACTCCTACTATAAATGTCTTTCACAGATAGTAAAAAATTACAAAGGCTGGCGACACCCCATGACTCCAACAAAAAGTCACCATCTCTTACAACTAAAAAGAATAAAAGTAAGACAATTTTTTGGTGCGACATTTTTTGGGGTCACCCTTCCCTCCCTTGCGATACCGCGCCTCCAATAGGAAGGCGTCGTACGCCCAGAAGGAAGGTGGGATCGCGGGTCGTCTTTCCCTTCCTTGCACCTCCGCGGTTCCGTGCGAAGATAAGGAAGGTGGGATCACAATCACCGGCGAGGCAATCACACACCATCACAATCGAGCGATCGACCTCAGCGACTAAAACAACTTTCCAGCGCACAATGGCCGTGAGACTACGCCATCCGTGAGACCTCGCCGCCGTCCGCGACCATGTACGGCGCCGCAACCTGCGCCTCCGCCGCCTCCGCACGTCACCCTCGTGAGCAGCCCTAGCCACTTGCCCCGGCCCTTGCGCGCCGCCCTCACCTGCAGCTCGCCACTCCTCGACGTTGGCCGTCGCACACGGTGACGGCGTCGATCTGATCCCAGAACCCGTCGCTACTCGGCTGAAAGCATCTAGACCCCTAGATGGGTTTCGGTGATTAATGACAATACGAGATTACTGTGACTAACGTGTGTTTTGCAGATGCAATTAAGTTAGGTCATGATAATGGCAATTGATTGAGCAATCATGGTTGTCATACCCCTATGATGGAAATCGTTTCGATTTTCAAAGGATGGACGACAATGTTAATGATAGACTAGTTCTAAGTGTCATTTGGTGTTGAAGAGACACTTAGAGTAGTTTAGGACTTTATTTTTTTCTTTGGCCGTACTATTAAGGGGGTATGGACGGGTAGCTTGACCTAGGTGAGTCTAGTGGGTTAGGTGTGGTGCACACTTGTCAAATCTAGCACTAGGTAGCTCCTAAAAGACCCTTAGATCAATTGGAGCAAACTTTATTCACATATGATTGCGAGTTGAAAGTGAATGGAGGGTCAAATGTTGATCGAACGATGGTTCCGGTGTGACCGGACGCTGGTGCAGAATCCGGTTAGTTCATTTGATCAAGGTGAAGTCGTCTGGATGCGACCGGACGCTGAGAGGTGAGTGACCGAACGCTGGGTGTCAGAGTCTGGTCAACTCCAGTAAGGTTTCGAGGAGGAGAATCCTGATCGGACACGTCCGGTCAGTGCTGACCGGACGCTAGTCAGGTTCCGGCTACTGACCGGACGCTGAGCAGCAAAGTGACCGGACGCTGGGTGGGGAGTGGTGACTCTTCGATGCCTCGACAAAACATCGCCGCGTTCCTCCTTCTCTATTTACTATAAGCATTTACTTTGAGCACTTCAATTCTTGCCTTTACATTCATAGAATTGCCATGTTAGAGTAGGATTAGAACATATGTTGCTAAACTTTAGAATTGCCATGCTAGAGTAGGATTGGAACATATGTTGCTAAACTTTTGTGCGGTAAGACAATTGAAATATTTTCTAGGCACAAGGGGTGAAGTGGGCTAACCGTAGGATTTAATTATTGCAAAGAATTTTAGAATTAGCCCAATTCACCTCCTCTTGAGCATCTTGATCCTTTCTTCAGCAATCAGGTGCGTACGCGTACCCCTATGTACACCACGTCGGCACCGGCAGGCGGCGGCGCTCAGATTAGCGTTGGCATTGGCCACACACTGCACATGCTTTTCCGTGTGTTCTCAAACTTTTTGAATCGCCTGCGGCATGCATGCACACCGTGTACATCATTCGTTCATTCTGGGAAAGTATTTGAGCGTCAGGCATGACAGGGAGAAGACATTGAATGGGTGACGGTGAAGTTCGGCCGGAGAAACCCCTCCGTCGATGACTGGATCGCCGTCTTCTCTCCAGCTGTTTTCAAGTAACTTTAGACGTATACAAGTTTATTAATATACTCGTACTAGATTGTAACACATCAAAATCGCTATTATATATGTGGTGGTATATATGCAGCTCATCAGCTACGTGTCCTAACCCTTGGCCAGCAGAACCGTCGTATCTCTGCACAGCACCCATCAAGGTCACTAGCTAATTTGCAAACGTAGAGTATATGTGTAGAAACACGGAGCCTAATCTGTATCTTTCTTTCACTGAAACATCATGTGTTGCTGCATGGGTGCCGTACGTGCAGTATACAACTATTTTAACTACTCAATATGTGTATATCTCCTGTATATGTAAATGCCATATTTTGTAGTATTTTCACTTATTGAAGTCTCATCAACCAGCAGCCTCTCAAATTGGCTCATATTTTGTAGTATTTTCACCGGTGGCCTCGAACAACGTATTTTTTTCAACAGGACCATTATCGTTTCTAATCCTGTATCATCATGTTGCTGCATGGATGCCGTACGTGCAGTATCAATACGCCAACTACTCAACAAACTACATCTCCTGGGGCAAGGGCAGTGTCCGGTTGCAGCTCATCAACCAGCGCTCTGACTTCGCCTTCGCCCTCTTCACCGGTGGCCTCGACAACGTACGTGATTCAACAGGACCATTATCGCTTCTATATGTATCAAAGTTGCTACGTACTCCATTATCGACAACCTAATCTGTATCAGACTGCCAGGACACACATATACTAGCTGAAGCTTCTCTGTAAGAGCTTCTCTGGAGCTTCTAAAAAATTATCTGTATTTTTCTTCCATACATTTGCATTGCCATAGCTGGGTTCAGTGTTTTGTTTTTTATGGGCACATTCTAATAAACATTTGCCAATTTTCTGAGGATGTTTATGAAGCTAGAATAGTCTTCCGGTTTAGTATTTCTCAGTTAACTCTTGGTTTAATAATTCTCATATTTTGTCACCACCTTCCTATGCGTTGTAGGCAAAAGATCCTGCGTGAGCGCCATCACCACCGTGGCATGCGTGCGCTGCTGCCGCTGCCGCCCGCGATGCTCCTCGCGCCGTGCTTGACTCCGCCGCCTCGCGCTGCCGCTATGGTTAGGTTTTGGGGGCATGGGTGACGGGCGGTGAGGGTGGAGTGCGGGAGACGGGGTAGGCGAAGGGACGAGCAAGAGGACTGGAGGAGGAGATGCGCGCCGCGGCGGGAGGCGGAGCTCGGCGGAGCATGCCCAAGGGACAAGTGGGTTCTGTACGATTCATGACTGCCCGGGCGTGGGGCTTAATGGGCAAGACCCGAACCGATTTGCAATCGGACGGTTCATATATTTAGTTGGCTTGATCCGACGGTCCATGTGATTTTTAGTTATATATTCCTTGTTAGATTTACATTTCAAGAACATGTTTATATTTACTCAAATATTATATTTAAGTTTATATGTACGGCAGCTTGTGCATAGCATTTGTGAGCCTGCGACACCGAGCTCTCCGTGACTGTGTTAATTTCACGAACTTTACCTTTTGGATTAATTGTCACTTTAACATCGGTATTTAATTTCACAGTATTGTTATCTTATCGTGCGATCCGTGTGTTTTTAGTATAAAAGTTTAGCTGTTCCGTAGCAACGCACGGGCACGAACCTAGTTAATCAATATTTGCAGATGTGGGCATCCCCGCCTCTATAAATGAAATTAAAAGAACAAAAAAGCCGCAAGCCCAACACTGAGGCCGTTCTTGAGCCCAACATTGAGCCCGTCGTTGCCCCGTCGTCGCTGCTCACCATGGAGCCCCATCATGGAGCCCACCATTGCTCGCCATAGAGCCTGCCAAGCCCACCCAATGCCACTGTTGCTCGGTTGCCATCATGGATGTTTCCCTCGCCGTCACCGCCTCAAGACCAGCCCTAACCAGATCTGGTGTTGCGAACTTTGAAGAAGAGAGAGAGAGGGAGACAGAGAATCTAGCCTTGGAGATCGAATAAAAGGAAGAGTGAGAGAGATTATGGGCTCACCTATGCTCATCCGGATCGAGAAGGGGCCCGGACCTCGTTTGGGCCGTCGGAGATGCACTTGCCTAGCACCGATGTTGAGGATGTTAGCTTATAGAAAGATGGAGAGAATTGCGCCTGGGCTGGCCACCGCAGTTGCACGAGTCGCTCTTGCTGAGGCAAAGAAGATGAGATGCAGGCCCTACCGCCACATCTGCGCAAGGCAACTCTAGTGGCGATGATGAGATGCCCCTAGTGAAGAAGGCGGGCCGAGATCCACACCCGAGACAAGCTGAGGTCTCTGACGCCGCATCCGCGCAAGACGCACCCGACGAAGAAGACGAAGTGAGTGTAGGTAGTGACGACCATGGGAGTTATGATCGACGGTGTTTTGGCGAGAGAAGAGTGTGAGGCAGCGGTTGTGGGGATTTGTGGCCTGTTAGTATTGGCGGTGGTTGTCCTCATAGGACTTAGGGCCTATTTTCCGTAGGCGACACTTTTACGGAGTCCGTCTTTGTTAATTGATTTAGAGAGACAACTCACTTAAGAAGCTCGCATTCGTAAATCAATTTACAGAGCCTGGCTTTATTGAATTGCCTTCTAAAATAGGTTGGTTGTCTCTAAAAATTGAGTAGATACTTAAGGAGACACTACCATTTTTAGTCCGTCCTTGAAAATAAATAAAATGCTCTATCTCCTAAAATCTGTTTATAGCAGTGAGTCTACAAGTACCAAATATTTAATATATTTTTATGATTTTCCAAACAAAACCCTAGTATTCCGACTTAGTATGTTTGTTACTGTGAGAAGTGTAGTATTCATCTTATAAATAATTACCCAAATTAGATTTGAAGACAAATCAAATTGGAGGCCTTTGAAGAAAAAAAAATCTACTATGTGTGTAACTGGGAATTGGCAACTATTTTTTTTAAGAAGAGTAGTAAAAATCATACAAACTCTATGGTTTCTCATAAATAAATTGTTCTAAAATAAAATAAAAAAATATAAATAAAAGGCATATAATTGACCTTCAAAATCATGGGACACTATTCTAACTTGGTCGAAGGTTTAACAAAACTTAGGATGTCAATAGGTGGCGCATACATCCGCCAAAAATACCTAGATATAGCGGTCTATGGCAGTTACCTAAGTTGTTGGATCTAGATATGACGGCCCATGGTAGTTGGGCCGCCCTGGGCCAAACATAGTCTATATATGAGTACCAAATATTTAATCTCTTTTCAATTGTTGCTCAGAAAAAATCTCTTTTCAATTTCTTCCCAAAAAACCTAGATATTCTAGCTTAGTACGTTTCAGATTGACCATTTATTTGTAAGTACATACCCTTCCTAGAAAGTTTTGCAGCGCCGGGCGTGGTAGTCACAACGACGGAACGGCCTCGCGGCAACGCCTCACCGCTGTCGTCGCTGTCCATCTCCCCACGGCCTGCTGACGGTGCGGCACCCGTCCATCGGGGTGGTCGCCGCCGGTTTGGCCTCGCGGCCACCCGCACAGCTGGGGAAGCGGCGGCGGCAGAGAGCGGGAAGCACGGCAAGCAGGCGACGGCCATGGAGGAGAGGACGCAGTGGGGGATCCGAGAGAGTGGGAGAGCGAGGCGTGCGCAGGCGTGCGACGCATGAGCAGGATGGCGTGCGCGCGGCTGCTTGCATTGGCAACCGTGGATCGCCCGAGGCTAGCTAGCTGTATATATGAATCAGGTTTCCGTTGCTCCTCGGAAAGCAGCTTTGCTCCAACAGCAGCTTAAACTGTAGTGAAGCAGTGATGCATGCATGAGCTTTACCGTTTGTTTGTTTCCTCTCCACCTGTGGATCCCTGGCGTATTGTGTTGGAGTCTCGGTGAAGCGATAGGTATGACGCTAGGATGACTTGTCCAGGTACAACAAAGTGTGCGTGTTTCGAGGACAAATTTTGGTATTTTTCGCATATAGGCACGGGAAAGTTTACGGTTATATTAGATATTCATGCACCTTATAATTTCAGAAAGGAAAATGTAGGAGAATACACTATTGCAAATAACCTTTCCCTTTCAAAGATGGCTAGGATGGGTCTATAGAAGCGGCTTTTTAGGAATTATAGAAGCGGCTATTTAGCCCGTTTCTACTTATCTGTCAACGATTTCTAGAGGTGGGTATCTTTTTTTTCTTGAGCTTTAGAGGCGGGTATCCCGACGTAGATGGACCGAAACTTAGCTATTCGTAGAGATAAATTTCTAGAGATGGTTCTGTTGGTGGAGCGAAACCTAGCCACTAGCCAAAAAAAAAAAACAGTCCTTCGTCACAAGTCAAGCAAACGACCACAGGATCAAACTGAAGACCTCAAGTCATTCATAATTATACGATTTTCTAAAAAAAAACAAGTGCGTGGTAATTATAATAATAATCACAAAAAAGAAATAAAGTGCACATATACTGATTATATAGTGCAAGCACATACTCGACATCGTAGAAGCCCGGGTCCTCGCCTCCAACAACCTCGTCGTCGCCGCTGCAAGTTCCTCTCTTCCATCAGCCGTACTGCCGTCCCGGCCGAGGCGCCGCTGGCGCGGCCGCGGCGCAGCGCCACCCGACTCGCCATGCACCGAGCACTTGATGGATGATCGAGTCGCAAGGCACTGCCATCTGTACGTCTCAGTCTCGCGTAACAATAAGGCGAGCAGCAGGAATGCAGGATGCCCTCGCCATCACACAGTGCGGCGGTGGCCGGCCACCAGCGACGACGTGGTCCTGGCCGAGCCCAGGTGCCGCCAACCTCGTCGGCGCCTGATGAGCGGCCATGGTGTGTGGGCGTGGCTGCGTGCGCACGAGAGCTTGCAGTTCGTATATGTGCGCGTGCTCATTGGTCATTGCAACAGAATTACATGTGTAATGCGCAGGAGAAAAATGTAGCAAAGTATGGTGACATGTTTGTACTGTGGTCGTGGCGAGGAAGTGGAGAGAAATTGTAGATCGGTTCATTTTGGGTTGCATTGGTTCAAAGTTTCCTTTTGGATAACAGGGTTGGTCCAAAATTAAATGGACTTCTTTTACTTTAACGGCTACTTTGGAAACTTAAATCCTCTTAGGATCTCTGACTTTTTTCAGAGTAAAAAATCCATGAAGATATTATTTAAATAACCTATTTAGTTCTTCATGGAGGGTTTTATATCCCTGTGTGTGCCTCCCCTTACTTCCAAATTAACCCTAACCTTTGATGATGCCTAGCAGATTTGATTTTAGCTTGTTGTAAAACATATTTTCATGCTCCTTCAACTTTCTATTTAATTAGTATAGTTATTTACACAAACACGTCCAGTGTTCCTAAAACACTTAGTATTAAACACTAGTCATCTATCGTTTATATAGTCACAGACATAATAGGGGCCAGCGTGTGTGTAACGTGTAAGCCAACCTAACTGTTTTTTTTAAACTAGCCTAACTGTTGTTTAGTTAAAGCATCACGTTAGAAATGGTATCAACGTGCAAGTGAACTTGTGGCTTCGATTTAGTCAGTCAAGCATGCAATTGACGACGACACTGAGCATGCATTGAGCCAGCTCAGGTGCAAGTCCTCCGAGGGTCCTGCACCGCAAGATTTAGCGTTGTTAATTCTGCTGAGATGACTCTCACGCTTGATAACATGCTAGTCACCCTTTTATTTTCTTTTTTCTGAAAAGGACTTGGCAGTTGTCAGTTGTGTCACAGAAATTTCTCTGTTGCACGC